ATGTTTTTACCAAAATATGACTGTTTAAATCAATATTCGTTTGAAATTACTGATAAAATTTTATATTCTTTAATCAATATGTACATTATTAGTCTTTCTGCTATTGCCTTCAATCAATATGTACATAATTAGGTAAGTTATCAATTGTTAGAATGTAATATCTACTTACAGCCACTTAACGTAGAAGTTATATTCAGTTCCCACCCAAGTGAGAAATGTAGCTAGGTATCCCATGTAAGTTGGAGAGGGGAATTGTGGCCATAACCAAGCAGTCTGTGAAAAAAAAAGCAAATTAATTACTAGATTTATAAAAAAATACATCCGTAGTCACCGTGGTTCAGGGGGTAGCGTCCGCGACTTTTAGGCGTCAAGTCGAGGGTTTGCGCCCTGCTACGGTCTGAGGTTAACAAGGGCATGCACTCAGGGTAACAATTGCATCATACATTACATAGTATAGCAAGCAATATCTAGAATATGGTGCAGGTCAGAATACCTTACTGAAATAGATGTCATAATGACAATTTTAAACAAACCTATATCATAGAATGATTTAGAGGTCATACCTCACTTTTAGTTATGATTGACTGAGTTATCGATTTTACGTCACGGGATCCCTTTTCCACTAAGGGCTAGGACGGTGCCTTATTGCTAAAGACTTTGGGTTTTGGCAGATGTGATCGTTACCCTGAGTAAATGCTGTTTCTAACCTTAGACCGTGGCGGACCGCAAACCCTCGACCTGACGACTCATATTCACGAGCGGTACCACTTTGCCACGGGTACCTTAGTTATAATTGGCTAAGCTACTAAATGAGTAATGGGAATACTCACCATCATCATAGTCTCTCCCATTGCAAGGAAAATGGTCTTTCCAGGATATGTCAGCACAAAGTAGTTGCTTGGAATGTACTTGTAGTCTTTCATTTTTCCAGGATGTCCTCTGGAAAGGTACAATATAAAAATGCCATTAATATTTTTTCCAGTTATAGCATATGATTTCTGTAGTTTCTTGTTTAATATTTTTCTTTTTCGGCAATGATTCGGTATTACGTCACGGACTCCCTTTTTAATTAAGGGCTACGACGGTGCCTTCTTTAGAAGGACTTTGGTTTTGGCAGTGCTACAGATACCCTGAGTGAATGAACTTTCTAACCTCAGACCGTGGGAGTCTCAAACCGACGACCTGACGAATCAAAGTCGTGTGCACTACCAATCCGGCCACGGCGGCCGCATTATTCTGTTTGACAATATAATCTTTAATCATCAAACAGTACTTATCCTCTTTTAATGTTTTAGATGCTAGCTTGAACACAGAATTCTCATTTTAACTTATATAAATTATACTTGACTTTACTATATCTGAGCTAGCTTGGGCGGAAATTAAATCCAGATAATTTCTTGGAACTAATATAGAAATGCAGAAAATTAGATGAAATTATGCTTTAAGTAAACCATCTTGACCTTACATGATACCTCAAAGACCTATTGTTAAATATAGATTCGACAGACTTTTATAGGTCAGCCATAAATAGTAAAAAATGTCTTGTTTTGAAGCCTCCTGTTGTCCATGTGTAGTTATTTTCTAACATTTTTCTCTGTTCGTATTGCTCTCCTATTTCATATATAATTCTATTTAATATTATTCACATATACTTTGTTCTCTGCTCTGTGGTCACTCTGTCTTGTTCCCGTTTTAAATATACTATAATCTTGATTAAAATATATATAAAAATTCTCAAATATTAAGTTTTGTTCTTAAATAAACATTCCCAAATATCAGCTGTAATGTTCTAAAAATACCTGTATTTGTAACTTACATTGCTCATATAATAACATCAAGCACTCACTTCAAAATAGCGATGTGAAGAAATCTTTAACTGGATGTGAAGCTTTTTAAAGACTGCAGACTGGAAATAACCACTCAGGACACAACCACAAGTGATACTGTTTAACCCTCGTTCCTCAGACTAAAACTCCGTCAACCGTTGGTCGAGGAGGTTCTGACTCGGCGGACGATGAGAGTATTATGACTAATCATTTTAAACGTATTTTTCTTTATGATTGTGACACCAGGACGGGCAAAAAAAAAAAAAAAAAAATCTACCCTCATCAGGCCTGGGTACGAAGAAAACATAGAGAGAACCAGAGATCGGGAGTGTATTGTGACTTGTCAGATGTGAAGGGATAATAAGACATGTGCAACGAATAGCCAAGAATATTCGGTGTTGATGTAGGCATAGAAAGAGAACCGTAACTGAAGGAAGACTTGACATCGAACTGTCCTGGACAGTCTTATTTAAGTCCAATAGCCCCTTCAGGTGTAGTATTGCAACGGGCAGTTGATGCCATGGGCCAACTTACTACATGGAGAAATCCACCCCTCCCCCTCTGTTTTTCCTTCAGATATTTGATCACCGTTGCCGAGTGGTAACGCTCGCGACATAGCTTTGTCAGGTCGAGGGTTCGCGGCTCGCCTCGGTCTGAGGTTAGAAAGGGCATTCACCAAGGGTAGCGGTTACACTTGTCCTTCGTAAGAAGGCACCGTCCTAGCCCTTCGTAGAAAAGAGTACATAACGTAAAATCGATTAATTGTAATACGCAGTTCAACCCAAAATGAGGTTAGAAAGGGCATTCACTCAGGGTAACGGTTACACTTGCCCTTTGCAAGAAGGCACCGTCCTAGCCCTTCGTAGAAAAGAGAATCCGTGACGTAAATTCGATCACATGTAGTACGTAGTTCAACCCAAAATGTATTTTTAATGTTTATTCCAATGAGAAACAATCTTGCGGACAAACGTTCATAAATTTCCAAAAGATCTCGAGTAACTTATTATGATGGTAAAGATATATATTTATATTTTCTTTATAAATAGTGCTATCGGACTGTCCAGGACAGTTCAATTTTAAATCTTCCTTCATTTACAGTTCATTTTCTATGTCTTCAGTAACACCGAATATTCCTGGATATTCATTACACATTTATTATCCCTTCACATCTGACAAGTGACAGCACTCCCCGTATCTGTTTCTCTTTACTTTGTTTTCTTCGTGCCCAGGCCCGATGACTGCAGATTTTTTTTTTTCCATCCTGGTGTCATAATCATTAAAAAAAAAGTCATGAGCAGGCGAGTGAATAATTATACACATATATTAGTGACTCTTCTGTCCCTCGATTTGTTCATATAATTTATGGAATCTCTCTCTCTCTCTCTCTCTCTCTCTCTCTCTCCTCTCTCTCTCTCTCTCTCTCTCTCTCTCTCTCTCTCTCTCTCTCTCTCGATAACTTAAGTAAAAACCATACCTTATGTGATATATATATATATATATATATATATATATATATATATATATATATATATATATATATATATATATATATATATATATATATATATATATATATATATAATTAATACTAATTGATATTATACACTATTCCAGTATTCTGTTCCGAAGTGTTTGTATATTTTCGAATATCCTCTGATTCTGGAAGTATATTTTAAGAAAGTTTATAATCCAGACATTTTTTTTTTTTTAGAGTACTTGACGTAAAAATTACATTTGTATGTATCATGGACTTCGGTAAAGGCCTCGCAAATTAAATGGCTTTAAAAATACAATACGTTTGTAGATATCGTATGAATGTTTTCATTTTCTTTGAAACTTTCCGTCGCTCAAGAAAGAAAACGACAACCATTGCTACTTATATGGGATACTATGATAAACTAGAAAATATCCAATTCATCACTTAAATTTGTACCGTAATTTCAAGATTAATGCTATTTTTAATCATATAGATCCATAATGTATAAATGGGAGCCATTTTTAGTTAGAATAATAGTCAAATTTATTACTGCAATATGTGTTTTTTTTTCCATTTCTAAGTTAATTTTATCTGTAAATGCTATTTCAATGAGACATTGTTTGAGGAAAGTTAATCGTTTGAGTACCACAACAACAACAACAACAACAACAACAACAACAACAACAACAACAACAGCAACAACACACAACAACAACAACAACAACAATAACAATAATAATAATTACAATAAAAATAATAATAATAATAATAATAATAATAATAATAATAATAATAATAATAATAATAATAATAATAATAATAATAATAATAATAATAATAATAATAATAATAATAATAATAATAATGAAATGATTTAGAATTTGTAATCCATACTCCTTTACTAATATGACTTTCGTCGACCCCTCTCTCTCTCTCTCTCTCTCTCTCTCTCTCTCTCTCTCTCTCTCTCTCTCTCTCTCTCTCTCTCTCTCTCTCTCTCTCTCTCTCTCTCTCTCTCTCTCTCTCTCTCTCTCTCTCTCAAACATTACCCTCATTTAAATCTCATCTTTTAAATCACCTACTTAATAAGTGATTTTAGTCTCATTATTATCCTCCCATTGGGTAGACGAAGTGTACGTATGCTTATTTTAATGTGTAAATATTTTGATTATGTGCTTTGCAAATTTCATTTGTTTCATTTTGACATTTTACATTTGTAATTTGTAATTTGTAATTAGATTAATTATCATGTAATAGCCATTTTTGATGGAATAAAGTTTTTGACTTTGACTCTCTCTCTCTCTCCTCTCTCTCTCTCTCTCCTCTCTCTCTCTCTCTCTCTCTCTCTCTCTCTCTCTCTCTCTCTCTCTCTCTCTCTCTCTCTCTCTCTCTCTCTCTCAAAAAGATAAAAATATAAAACACGTTTCACATTGCTCTGGTTCATAAAATGAACCATAGCAAGAGACGTGTTGCTGAGATTCCCTAAGTCACGCTGCGATTAAAGAGTAGTGAATGCAACGGAACGCCTTGTCGAGGCCATTGTAGTAATGATGTCATCTCATCACAAAATTACAGATTAACATATTTTTCACTCTCGCATCTACCAAAAACTTATATTATGACGGGGGGGGGGGAATGCGAAAATGGAATTAATTTCAAGAATATTCTTTGTTTTGCGATATATTATACTGTTTAGGTCACCTAGGTTGAGTGGTAAAGCTCTCGACTTTGATTCGTCAGGTCGTGGGTTCGAAGCCCGCCACGGTAAGAGGTTAGGAAGGGCATTCACTCAGGGTAAGGTCTCACTTTCCAAATCCAATATCCTTCGCAAGGACTTTGCTTCTAACCCTTAATTGAAAAGGGAGTCCATGACATAAAATCGGTCAGTTACCAGGATGTTTCAGACTGGATTCATCATCTCTTATATCCGTAAATCCAAGTATAGACCTCGAAAGCCAGATCTCTGATGAAAGTTTACTCAGATCCCATTTTCAGATTCATTGCTTATGGGTTCTATAGTAATGATGTGTTCTCATATTATACAACTTAAGATCTTATTGATTTATATAGGACTGACCACAACAGCTCGATGTTAAGTCTTCTATCAGTTACTAAACAGCTCGATGTTAAGTCTTCTATCAGTTACTAAACAGCTCGATGTTAAATCTCCTTTTAGTTACTATTCTTTTCCTATGCCTGCATTTACACTTAAAATCTATAATTTAATACAAATTTATATCATGTCATGGCTGAGAAATCATATATCACTTTGGCTATAATTGGCTGAATGATCACCTTTACGTCACAGGTTCCTTTTTTCTACTGAGGACTTGGACGGTGCCTTTTTGCGAAGGACTGATTTTGGGCAGGTGCGATTATTACCCTGAATGAATGCCGTTTTTAATCTCAGATCGTGGCGAGCCGTGAACCCTCGACCTGACGACACAAAGTCACGAACTGTACCACTTTGCTACGGTGACCTTACTTATAATTGCGTAATCAACTAAAACTATAATGTAAATTCCCACCATCATTATAGCCTCTACCGCTCCTTGGAATAAGGTCGTGGCAGAATGTGTCAACACAAAGTAGTTGTTTGGAATGTTCTTGTTATTTCTACCCCCTCCCCACTGAGGGAGGGGACTAGAATACTTCCTCCTTGTTCCTCTTCGTGTCTTAATAGTCGACTAAAAGGGGAGGAGCGAGGGGACTGGGAATCCCCTCTTGTATTTTGTATTCCCAAAGAGTCGCAGTATTTTGCCTTGACTCAGCCACTTCCCATATAAAGGGAAAAATGGCTCATATATATATATATATATATATATATATATATATATATATATATATATATATATATATATATATATATATATATATATATATATATATATATATATATATATATATATATATAGAGAGAGAGAGAGAGAGAGAGAGAGAGAGAGAGAGAGATTATTTCTGGGCTAGCTTGCGCAAAATTAAATGCACATGCTTACTGGGAACCATAATTGAAATCCAGACGATTAGATGGAGCAAAAAATTAAGTAGACTGCAGTAACATTATATCACACTCCAGAGACTTTTTTGGTTTGACAAACCAGTATAGGACTGCTTCTTCCCTTCCACCTTCAGACTCTGGAACTCTCTTTCTCATTCCGTCTTCCCTAATTCTTATAACCTATCTTCTCACACGTTTATAAAGCTGATCTATCGCCATCTCAAGGCCTAATCCTGCCATAAATCTAGGTTTTTATTGCTTCATTTTATTTAAAAAGTAGAGATAGGAATAACTTGTCCTATTCCTGCTGTGTATCTTTCGCTCATGTCTGCCTTGTACTTAAACTTCTGCTTCTTCGTGTGAGTTTTTTTTGTTTTTTTGTTGCCCGGGCCTAATGAGGGCAATTTTCTTGCCTGCCCTGGTGCCATACTCATGAAATAAAAGGTCTTGTTATAGGGGCTCCTGTTATCCACGTAGTCATTTATCATAAAACATTTTTTTTCTTATTGTTCATCTATTGCATATATGATTCTATATTATTATTTTTTTCACATATTCTTTATCCTCTGTTGTCTATTCACTCTGTTCAGTTCTATATATTCCATCATTTTAATTAAAATATAAATAAAAATTCGTAAACATGACCTATTTTGGTCTTGAAATATTAGCAACTTTGTTTTACTCAGCAAAAAATAAATATAAAGATCCTTTACTATATAATAACATCAGTAACTCACTTCAGTATAGAGATGTGAAGAAACTTCAGGTTGATGTGAATCTTTATAAGGTGCGCAACGAGGCTCTGTGGGTAACCACACTGTACAAAAGCGCAAGTGACTCATTTTGACCTTTGCTCAGAGCTTGGCTTGTCCCAGGGCGAGGGTCGGAGTTGGTACATGGTGAGAGTATAAGGACTAATTGTTTTCCAAATAAATTCCACCTCTTTCCTTTATTTTTTTTTCCTTCGAATATTTGGTACGTAATTCTATGTAAAAAAAAAATTAATAAGAACGGAGTTTGTGGGCTATTGCCTGGAGATCACTGGGACTACATGATTGGAAAGGGGATTGGATCCAGCTTTATGGTAGGTATCATCACTCTCCCTTACCTCTGCCATTCATATCTTTAACCTTTAATTTTTAGCGTGTTCAACAACAACTTTTTATTATGCTAAGAAAGAAAAAACAATCACTTTTTCACATACCTATAGTTAAATAAATTACATTTCCATTCCTCAAAACAAGTAATTTATCTTTAAATTTATCTACTTGTAGAATTCATTCCATTTCTACAAGTACAGACAAATCCTCTATCAGTCATTCAACTGATTCTTCCCATCTGCCTCCAGACTCTGGAACTCTCTTCCTCGTTCTTATAACCCATGTTCCTTCAAAAAGCGGATCTATCGTCATCTCAGGGCCTAATCCTGCCATATTTCTAGCTTCTCAGTACTTTGACTATTCTTTCAGTCTGTCCTTTTCCTTTGTGTATCAGTACCTCATCTCTGCCTTTATTGATGAGGGCAATTTTTTGCCTGGCACGGTGTCACACTCATAAAAGAAATATATGAGTAAGCAGTAGCTGCAATCCCCCTTGTAAAGGGATGGCCGACTCAAAGCACACACACTCTTCAATATCCAATGTACCTCGACAACTAGTCTTTGCTCTTTGAGGATAAAGGGCCGTCATAAATCCCCCTATCACATTGCTTGGGTCAACCACGGGGTTAGCGGGCAAGGATCTTCTTAATCAGTGCTCAGTTTATATTAACCTAATATAGCTTACCCTAAAATGACCTTTTAAAGTCGAATACAATTCATCTGGTTGGATTTTATATTAAATGTTACATTTGATTTAGTTATTTACGTCTATGGAGAGAAACGACCTTGAACTTTGCCTAGAATTCATGTTTTATTTTAATGATTGTGACATCAGGACGGGCCCCCCCCAAAAAAAAAAAATCTGTCCTCATTGCCTGGGCACAAAGTAAACATAAAGAGAAACGGAGATGGGAAGTGTTGTGACTTGTCAGATGTGAAGTTATGATAACAGATGTATCACGAATATCCAAGAATATTCGGTGTTGATGTAAACTTGTTTATCCCATAGAATTTACTGGTAATTTTGATGAGTATTACTGAAATTTAATTCTTAAGTGAGACAGGAACCGAACCAAATTTAGCTTTAACTTTAAAATCTCTTACCTTCTCTAAACAAAGAATTATGTTTTAGATAAAGGTTGGATACACCTGTAATTTCGGTGATCGATCTATAAATATTATGCTTATGTAGACCTCGAACCACCTCTTCATATACAGAGCAGTAGAGTGCCTTCGTAGTGCCGTCCTTGTGCCATCGTAGTGCCTTCGTTATCAAGGTCATGTAAAGGTACTTTACACTGTATAAAAATGTAGAAAAATATGTTTCATGTAAAAAAAATAACTCTATGGTATGTAAGACTTACAAACTAAACTTTATTCCATTCTTCTGGGTTCCAACAATAACAACAACAACAACAACAACAAAGGCCAGTATGTGAAAGCACTCCAGTAAAGTGTTAATAATGCAAATTTTGAATGAACTCATTTCAAGGATAATTTTTCTATATTCCAGTCAGAAACACATAAAAATGACAAAATTATTTAATAACCTTAACTTCAGTTATGACATATGCAATATTTCTTCTCATAACCTGTTTAAAGCAGTCAGACTCTAACACTCTTATGAAAGCCACAATAGATTTTAGACCTCCGGGCCATTACTTGAATATATCACTATTTTTTCTTCTTTTCATCCCCTGAAATATATATAAGATTCATCAGCGAAAGCATCTCGACAGTATGGCTCTATTTTATCTTCTTTTCATCCCCTAGAATATATATAAGATTCATCACCGAAAGCAGCTCGACAATATGGCACTATTTTTTCTTCTTTTCATCCCCTGGAATATATATAAGATTCATCAGCGAAAGCATCTCAACAGTATGGCTCTATTTTATCTTCTTTTCATCCCCTGGAATATATATAAGATTCATCAGCGAAGGCATCCCGACAATGAGAGTCGTTATTATCCATTTCATTGTCGTTGGAAGCGTTAATCCCAATCTTAAACAGAGAATAAACGCCACTAATGCTTCAGCGATGTGCCCCACTATCATGAGGTAGCAACTGCGAAGAGAAATAGAATAAACAGTGAATTTAGTTAAGGATATTTGGCACTCATAAATGAATGCCAATTTTTCACTGAAGGTGATTTGGAGAATGTCAAGTAATACTGTACTTAATTTCATAGTAAAATTAAAAAGAATATAAATATTTGGTGAAAATTGGGAGCGTAGTGGTAGGAGCACTCGACTTGGAAAGTGATAAACCCCTGTTCGAGCTCACCGCTAGGCGTTAGGAAGGGCATCTAACCTTAATTCCCCAACACCAACATGTGTCCATTCTCATTCGAATAGGAATTAATAGTTACGCATGATGACGTAAAAAAAAAATTAGTGAATAGTGTTTAAAAAAAAGGAAAACTTAGTGAATAGTGTTAATAAAAGGTAACTTAGTGAATAATGTTTAAAAAATAAAGGACAAACTTAGTGAATAGTGTTTGTCATATAGACATTATACTAATAATTGAGTGCCATCATTTAAGCAAATGATATAATAATCCCTTTCACTTACAGGTACATAGTAAGAGTACTGTGTTCGTTTCCAAGCCAAGATATGATGGATCCAATAAAGCCCATTTTTTGCACTATTGCTGAATTGGGACATAACCA